TATAATTTTGATATTTCCTTTTTTAGAAATTATACTAGACTGGCCCGGCCAACCTGGTTGATAAAATTATAATAACCGGGCTGGTCGATAAAAATATGGTGACCCATATCACTAGCCTAAAGTACACCTGATACAGAATTTAGCAGTCTAGACTCAAGAGGCGCACTATTTTTATTTACTCTTGGCTGTTATTGTGATTACGTAGGTGAAACAATTATGTATGTCACCTGTCGCTGCATATGATACATGTACTTATACAGACATGAATTAAATAAAAATAGGATATGCGTCTAACTTAATATACTCAATAGTTATCTATTAATATAAATATCTCAAGACATTACATATTTTCAACGAAATTAACAACAAATATTAGAATAACAATGTCATCCACTACTTTATGTGAAAATAAATATAATGATAAAGACTCGAACGAACAAGAATTACACAATAAAAAACGAATAATACTTTTCGCTTTCAATAACACTGAAGCTTCACGTGCAATTTATCAATGGGCTCTCGAGAATTACTTTCAAAGTGAAACCGATCATATATATTTGCTTTCTGTAATAAAAACTCCGCAAATCTTATCCCAAACACGCACTGCCGATTTATGGATATTTGGAGCGGGAATGCTTAGCGGGGTCGCAGTTGAAATGTTTAATTACAAGGAATATTTGCATTGGCAACAAAAAAAAGAAGCTGAAGTTCGATCGTATTTAGAAGAGCTTAAAAACGAATTATCATCGAGAAATGTAAGTTTCATTTTCTCGATGCATATTTTTGTGCTCATGAGATCGATATTAACGTTAATAATATTAATTTGGTAGATAACCAGTAGTATGATAATTATAGAGGGAAATCCACACGATGAAATCTTAAATGTGTGCGATAATGTTAACCCAGATGTAGTATTAATGGGTACAAGTTTGAACAAGAAGAATCTTTTTTCGCGTTCATCGTCAAAAGTTTCTGTTTTACAAAAAAAATTAACTTCAACTCCGATTGTCACATTGAGCAGAGAAAACAAACCTCAACAACTGAATAGTGATTCATCAAAGAAAAGTAAGATTTTTTTCCAATATTTATCTTTTTATAATTTATTTTAATAAATCATTTTTATTTTCTTTAAAACTAGAAATTCGTAAAACCTTTGGATTCATCAAACACTCTTTATGTCAACGAGCTAGTTACTCGAGTCTATCGAAGGAAAAAAACACTTATACGAAACTTGAATAATGTAATTTACCCCTATTAATATTCATTGTAAATATTTTAGAATTATTAAAGCATATCGATATCGATATGAAGATTAACATAGCTTAAACTTGAAACTTGTGTTTCCCAATTACATCATCTTTGTATATAATAAAATGCGCGTCATATACAACCAACAATAGAAAATTATATAAATAACAAATCATTCAAACTATATTAAATATCAACCTAATTCTTTAAAAGTTGTCTGATACTTCACGTTCCATCATATAAACGAGACGAATAGTTGCTTGTACACCAGAACGACAATCAAGTTCCCAACTAAACACTGGAATTTCTTTCTCCAAACAATTCACCAAATTCACGAAACATATAAATATTCATTCTATATACGATCATTATTTAAATAGCTCGAGCTTCAATCTCGAGGACAGGGTTGGCAGGCTCTCTAATCCAGTAAATTTAATTTGTTACCTGGCCTGGATTAGTAACTTTACAAATCCAGTAAAAATCCAGTGCCAACCCAGGGGTTGGAAGTTACTTCTGTAAATGTAAATGTAAATGTTATAGAAATCCTTTCAAGGTTGGTTGACTTGATACTATTTACGTCGATCAATTAGAATTGTGGATTTGGAGAAAAAGAAAACGCGTCGTCGATTAGACATTGTGTATTGTACATTGTATATATGGTATTTGACACAAAACTCCCTATTCTATAGTGATAGAATTGCATTATCGTTATATAATGAAAAAGATGTCTAGAACGATCCATAAAGTATTCATTTCCATTTGTGGAGTTAACATGGTTGAAACATTGTTCCAAGTAATGTATCCGGGTATGCAGTCAACATGTTTCATACTTTCTTATTGAGAATCTTGATAAACGATAATTGAGATAAACTAATGATACTTTAATTCCGTCCACATTCAATACAATTCTTTCGCTTTGTTTATTGTTGTTAATCGGGCAATGTTAAAGCCATTTATTTTTATATCAAGTTAAAGTAACTAGTAATTAAAAAAGATATCAAGAAAATAGATTAAATCCATTGATTTTTATATCAAGTACTCGGTAGTCAAAAAAATATCGAGAGAATGAACGATATAAATATATATATCAATATCAATCGTGTTACAAGGAAAGATAATGACAACTCTGTATTACATGTAATACAAAGTGAGTAGTACATAGATATTGCAAAAATGCGTAGCATTTAATCATATCGATATCCAATTTATTATACTTTAGTCAAGTCACGAGACAAATTTGATTAGTATTCAATGATTCGAATCACTGATTAAATTTGATTAGTATTCATTGATTCGAATCACTGATTAAATGATTACAAATTTCAATAGTTCTAATTACTCAACTTAAAATTACAGACTGACGAAAAAATAAGGCGCAAGAAAAGAGGAATTAATTTACAGGTGAGTGAGTGTAGGAATGCAAGTGGATTACAGGAAGATGATAACTAAAATAAATATGTGTATATTTATAGGATGAGAGCTCAAATAAATTTATGAAGGATTGTCGCGATGCAATTAAATTATTTTAAATAAAATGTGCTGATAAATAACGGAATGTGTATCGGGCTTCTATCAGTGAGTTATTGTTCCCAGAGATCTTCGCGGTGTGTTGTTGCTACGCGCGGGAGGGACTCAATTTTATATCTAACCATGAATTATCGCACGTTTCCCATTCTCTATCTAATTTTATTTCTAGTATTTAATTAACGGTAGTGATGATGATGATTCTGTGTCGTTGTTTTTCTAGTACATTTGTTTTACATATGGTTCATTGATGTGTCCTCGACTACGTCGGTATCGCCATGCACCATAACCAGCAGCAGCAAGCACAGTTACTGAACAAAGGGCAGCAATTGGAGCCACGAGTTTAGGCAATGTTGGTTGACTATAATCTGGTGTGTTTGGGGTAATTTGTGAACCATTTGTTCCTGGGGCAGCAAGGCTATTTGGTAGGCCAGCACCAAGAGTAGCATAAGATTGCGATGAATCGGTTGAAGAGCCATTGGGTTTTTTCGGAGGACCATAACCTTCCGGTGGCCATGTAGTCGATGAATTACCATTATCTGAAAGCACATGGATTTAGAATTTTAGAATCAATACCTTGGATGAATAGAAAATACTATATACTAGATGTAATACTTACAGAAGCAGGTGATGTTGACCCAATCGACGTACATACTGTATACTTTATTTTGGTCGCTCCAATCAGTCGGAGAACCGGCCCAATTGGCAGTACCTTCAGCGCCCATACCACCATCCCACATTGAAAATTGTATTCGCGAAGGTCTTGACGGGAATTTAAACTGGTTGAGTGTAGAATCCCAGGTGTCCTTTTGATAAGCTGTACGTGCAGTCACGCCATCGATTATCCAACTAATTAATTATTGTAATGTTAGTCATCATTTGATTATATTATTATTCATCATTTGATTATATATTATTGATTATATATTATTATTGATCATTTAATTAAATAAAAAAAAAATTACCTAATATGATCAGGCATCCATTCAATTGTGTAGAGGTGAAAGTCAGCGGTAGTATCAGCCCCGACTTTATGATGAGAGCCCTTCGTGTAATCAAGCGTGCCATTATAATAATAATTACTTTGTGCTTCGGTTGGATCAAGACCAACCCATTCGTAATCAATTTCATCACCAATTAAATTTTTAGTCTAATTATAATATCAATTAATTAATTTATCAATTGTGATCATCACAAACATCATCACCCATCATCATAGAAAGAAAATACTCACAATGAAAGATGATACGACACCCTTAGCAGTTGACCCTGTCTTAATGCGTGCTGTCACTGTTCCATATTCCATCCATCTTGTGCTACTGACTGTTGAACCAAACCCTTGAAAATTTCCTTTTTCATTTTTATTTTTATCGTCGTATTTCATGCCAAGCTGAATTTTACCATCCGAAGTATAACTTGTATAATCTGGTGTAAAGTCTGACGTCCAATTAACAGTCGTTGGATCTCCCGAGAAATTTTGCCAATTTACTATACTTGGTTTTGAAAAGTCATCGTATAATGATACACATGGTGGTTCGGGAAAACAGGATTTAGGCGAAAATGAATTTGCTGGCTCACAACCTGAATCAGCGAATTGATTTATGTAAGTTATAAAGTAATTCATAGATTACTAAACCAATAAAGTCTATTTGGACTAACCAGTGGAACAGAATTTGGGATCATTTGAGCACCATCCGTTATTACAACAAGGCGCATCTTGTGGACAGTTTTTTCCAAAATTTGAACAAACAGCACTTACTAGTGAGAATAATTGGGAAAGTGCCACTGTGGCAGTTAAAATCTAAAATTTACAAGAAAAAATTTAGAAAGTGACCATACGTGTCGCGCTAGAGATGAGTGCGTATTTTTATCTTGAACCCTAACAGTATGAGTTATTGCGTGAAAGGATGAGAATATTACCTTTACAAACCTCATTTTTGGTCTTTTAATTATTTTAAGATAAGTAAGAGAGGGAAGGTCCAAATACTAGCAGACCGTGGAAAAAAAGGAAAGTTGGTGGTAAGGAGTTGTTTAGCAAGTATATTTAAAATAAAATGCTAAAAAAGGATAAAAGGAAGGACGAGCGCGTTGGGGGAAAAAACGCGAAGAGGGAGGGAGATGTTCGAAAGAGAGTAAAAAGAGTTTAAAGTTCCAAGGAAAATAGAGGACGCGACCGAAAATTAAAGGGAAAAATTGATGTTGCACTAGGTCGCAGTTGTGATCTATTAAACCGCATTTGTACCATTTAAACTAACCAGATGTATTAATTGCACGCTGAAATGATCATCACAGCTCTATTGGTCACCATCCATTAATTAATTTAGCAAAATACGTACGTACATTGTTTCTTTGGTCGGACAGAACAACAAAGTAAAGAAACTGATCGTGTCAAACCCGAGATTTTCCAAAAGTTAACGCCCTTATAATTGTGATCGGTTTAATTCTTCGTTCCACAAGTACAACATTTCGTTGAGAATTACCAAATTTGAACTTTAATTGGTTCTTGAAGCATCGTGAAAATTTGTTTTGTGTAAGGATTTAGTGGTTTGTTTTTAGCTAAATTGAAAATTCTTATCGTAATTATGAGAAGAAAGATCAAATGAAACCCACCAACGACATGTATAGCTATTATTCAAACTCATTTGGTAATTTGAGTAAAAACAGTCGACTATCAAGAATATAAATAAAAATTAAATTTATTATTTTTTTGATTTTGTGATTTGTAATTTTAGTAACGAAAAAATGTCTTCGCAAAAATAAATGATAACACTTGCAATTAGTTGCAATTCATATGCAACAATTACAATCGCAATTCAATAATAACAATAATTTTCAAGCTTTACTTGGCATTTGAATATTTCGAAGTGAGAATTCATTTTACGGTGCAGGCGATCCTGTCTTTTATCGATTGATACTTATCTGGATAAATTTCTTTGTAAGATTGTAAATCAGATAAATAAATAAATTTACAAAGAGATTTATTCAATTAAGTCTTTATAATGTTATTTTATTATGAATGTAATTATAGCAAGATGATTGGGTTCTCGAAAAGAGTGTTATTATACAAAGTTCCCTATAATGAAGTACATGGGCCGATCCAATGCTTTTAGTATATAAAAATATTCGGATATCAGAAGGCTGATTTTATACGTGTAATATATATTTGTATCGCGAAATTTCTTCGTTATACCAAAAATATTCGCTGTATAATAATAATTTTTATTTTTCAATAACAAGTCAAGTTAAAGCTTAAATAACATTTTTATCAAGAAATCATCCAAAAAATCCAAGAGCAAAACAAATCTTAAGAAAAAAAAAAGCTGAAAAAATAGAAAAATTTAATATATTTTTTATAAATACAAAAATGAATTAATTTACTATATGAAAATAAGAAAATAAAATAAAAAGGAAATCAAAAAGTGAAAAATAAAGTAAAAATACTATATAAAAGTGAAAAATAAAATAAAATATAAAATAATAAAATAATTTACTATATAAAAATAAAAAGATAAAATAAAAAATGAAATAATGTAATAATGAAATAATTTTGTGAAAAATTTTTGTTATTGTTTGAATATTTTTAAAAGTTTTGTATTTTTCTATTATTTTGAATTTTCAACTATTTTAAGAATTTACAAAATCTCTGTTATTACTATAGTAATAATAACTTTAATATTAATTAATTAAACAGTGACAATCAGAAATAATGCAATAACGTCAAAATTTATTAATCAAACATAATAAAATTTTCTCTTATATAAAAGTTTTCAATTTTACTAATAAATATTTTTTATTTTTACATTAAAATAAAGATAATATCACATATTTTAACATGTTTTTTTTTAGATTTTTAGATTTAATCTGATAAAGCTGTTCTAATTACATATAAAGTCAATTATTTTTTATATATTTTAATTATAAAAAAAATAATTAACTTTATATGTAATTAAAATAGCTTTATAAGATTAAATCTAAAAAATCAGAAAAAAATATATGTTAAAATATGTGATATTATCTTTATTTTAATATAAAAATAAAAAATATTTATTAGTAAAATTCAAATTATTAATTAATAACAAAAATACTTATTTAATAATTTTAATATAATATTTTAATAAGTTTACTATAATTAAAAACTATTTATATACAAGTTTTAAAATATATAATTAAAAATAAAATATTAAGAAATAAAAAATTTTTGTTTATTATATTATTGTTTTAATATATTAATCAAAACTCAAATATTACCTTTATTTATAAATAAAACATAAAAAATAAAAAATAAAATAAAAAGTAAAATAATAAATAAAATAAAAAGTAAAATTAAAATATTTTTTTATAAAAAATTTTTGTTATTTTTAATTATTTTGTATTATTTTACTATTTTTTTTGGAATTTGATATATATATTTATTTTTTTGCTAAAAAACAAGATAATAATTTTAATAATTTAATATCAATAAAAAATATAAGTATATTTAAAATGAATTTAATAGATCTAGCTTTTAAAAAAAAGAAATTTTTATATTTTATATTAAATAATAAAAAATAATTCAGATATTTTTTAAAAATAATTCATAAATTATAAAATATTATATAAACTATATATTTCTTTTTGTATTTTATATATATTATATTTAAAATACTTGATCAAGAAAAAGCATATAATTTAATTATTAGCTAATAAATTAATTCAAATAGAATAATATTTCACAAATTAATATATAATAGTTTTAAATATATTAAATATTTATCAGAATATTCAGAAATTTCAGATTATATAAATTTTTTATATGTCAAAGACTTGGAAATTTTACTTGTTTTGCATCATCCAGCAATAACATCACCAATGCTTATTTTAAAAAGATGATCAGATATTTACTCCAAGTATGAAATTAGAATATAAGTATGCCAAGATATAGTTATATAGAATAAGCTTGCACTTTTGTATTACGATTTGAAATTCATTAATTATTTTTTCAAGAATCTCTTTGAACAAAATTAGATTCTTTTTGGATATAATTTATTTTTGTGTGCTATTTACAATAAAGCTTTGCTCTACAAAGATCAAACAAAACAATACATAATCCTTAAAATACAACCAATTACAAGAAAATTATTCATTTTATGAACATGGCTAAAAGTTTATCACAAGTGCAAATTGGAGCGATATATGAATGTGATTTTAATTTTGGTGAAGTTATTTTCGAAAAGGTTTACAGTTTTTTTTATTTGAAAATGGGTAATAGAGGTGCTAATTATACCTGTATTCTCTACATTCAAAATATAAATGGAAAAGGAGCAATTCATTATGAAATCATTGAAGGAGGAAAATAGAGAACTTTTATGATTTTATAAAAGGTGATAAACTTCCTAATAGCAAAAAGCATTACCTTTTGTAAAAATGGTGCATTAGAATTTTCTTTGATAAATCCCGCTATGGCCCAAATATTTGATAGCAACCTTATGTTTCGAAAATAATAAAAGTTTGTCCAGATATGCCAATATGGGACTTGCAACCGAATTTTTTGCCATTAATGTGAATGTGAAGTTTTTAGTACGAATCTATAAGTTAAGTGTAATCTTGCTCATGCAACAATCTGAACTAAATATGGTTAATTAACTCATGATTTACTTAATCCAAAATGGTATCTTGTACAACAAATATGGTTAAAAGTCTTTGTAGATTCATCTTACAACCATACTCCAACCAATTCTTCAAGAAAACGTCATCCATTATCAAGCAAGTTAACTGGCCCATCTCTTCTCCCGATTCTTGAATACCACTTCAGTTTACCAAAAATCTCAAACCGATGAACTCGAGTATTCTTCAGTTCAGGACTGGTCGCCGGAGGAAGTTAATCTATTTCTTAGGAATAAATTTGCCGAAGATTGGGAAGCACTAAAAGAGTTTGGTTTCGAGAAGTATAAAGTGACAGGGAGTACGTTGTTAGAATTGAAAGCAGATGATCTACGCAAATCAGGGTTGCCATTTCTGGTCGCAAAAGAGCTTGAGAACACCGTTAAGCAGTTATCAGGGAAGACCATCTACGTTCAAGCATATGATGATGAGGGTGAACTATTGGAAAAGTTTGAAGAATATACGATGCATAGCGAGAATGACCTTCATACCTTTTTGAAAAGAGTTGACGGAAAGGGATTGGAATCCATTGATGATAACAATGAAGTCCCAAAGGTCGTCACGTCTCTAAAATACATTCGTCCTAATCAATATTACCGAATCAATGCTTCCCATCTTACAGCAGTCAAAAAACAAGTTGTCTGGTCGAAAGTCGAAGATCAGGCAATGGAGGAAGAAACGTTATTGGCCGTACACAATGCTCTCACTGAAAAGATCAAGGCACCTACAAAAATCTTTCCTAAACGAGTAATGAATGATCCGAAAGGTATATCGCTAATGGAGTGGGATGGAATTTTAATTTGTGATGAGAAGATATTTTTATGCGAAGCAAAACATAACATGACGCATGCAAGTACAAAGGAATAATTAGCTTTCGTGAATCTGTTCGACAAATTCACTGATAAATCTGGCATTCTTAGAAACACATATTCAAGCTTATCGGTCGATTAAAGGAATTCCCGAAGAAACTCGAAGCTACAACGGATCTGGAATTCAAACAATTGTTGGGAAAGCAACACATTGGAGTTGCTTGTGGAACAAAATTCTCTGAGGAATTACGACGTGTGGCGAGGGATGAATTAGGATTGATAGTGATATTTCCCGGTGGTGGTCGTTATAAGGTGGAAGTTCCCAAAAATTTGTATATATAATCCATATTATAAACTGGAAAGTGAAAATGAAAATATTGCTAAATAACTTGTTATGCTATTAATAAAGTTTCATCCACTTTGGGCTTTATCTTTTTAACAATGTATGTATGTGTGGGAGTGTGGTTTCGGAAAAATAATAATTGTATCATAGCCGGTCCCTGACTAATGATTCGTGCGTGTGCTCACCCATCTCAGCAATAATGATCTCTGCGCATGCTATAAAGTATGTGAGTTATGGGAAAAGGAAGCGATGCGAATCATCCTGAATCAGGAGGAAGAGCATTACCATGAAGAACTTCGGCTTAGGCAAGATACTCTTGATATAACCAACAAAAATCTCGATAGCGTCATTTCGGACGACTTCTGGCTTTATCATGGGGAAATTACCTTTCAGCGTTATCTCAGACGATTTGGACTGAAATCCTTGAGGTCGCGCATTCCTCCCTCTATATATGAAAAGTTTCGGACGATGTGGATAAGCTATATAAGGAATTCAAAGATGCCCTAAAAGATATTAACGAGAACCTGGTAGAACAAGAATAACGATTGATGGACCCTCGCACGCGGATCATTTATTTTTTTCCGTTCAATCATTCGTTAACCAAATATGCGTGTTGCTCAGCCCGACATGTCTAGTGCGGATTACACGAATTAAAAAAAAATGTGTTCATAATAAATAACAGATAAGTTTGGTTACCTATAGTGGATTCAGGTTCACTGTATGAGTGAAATCGAAAATTTAAGCTAAAATAATTGGGGCTAGCGGGAGGCCATCGAATCGTCGCTTAAGATCTCATGATTTTTTCACAATCTTTGTGTCACCCCTAGCACCCACCCGATATGAATTGATTTTTCCGGCCACTATTTATTAAATTCGCTATTTTTGGCAATTAGGTCAACACAAGGATAGTGTTCACAAAAGATCGACTGTATCAGTCAAAGTCCATTAGTCAATTTCTGGTGTACCATTCTATATTTAGTAATATCTAACGCTAACTGTAGCGCCAAAGTCAATTTTTCGACTTAGTTGATTTTTCGAAAATATAAGGGGAGTGACAGATATTAGCTAATATCCATTTTGTTATGGGGACCCCGCCCCCACCCCCCCCCTTCCTGAGATTTCATTTAACACATGCACGTGTGATTATATTAATACCTGAGATTTGGCCTCCCCCCTCCCCCTAGAATATTAGCTAATATCTGTCACACCCCTAACGAAAATTATAACCGCGCGTTCTTTGTTCTGAAAATCAGCTGAGCTGATTTTTCAAAACCAACCGACTAGGCCGAAAATCGACTTTGGCCGATTTTCAGCCAGAATCATCACACGAGGACATGTGCACTACAGTATAGTTGTGATTATTTTTATGTTTGTATCGGAAAATAAAAATCATCGGATGGTGGCTCTGCCAGATCCGTGCGTAGCACTACAATCGAAATCATTTGACAGTGACGCGGTAGTCTCACGGTGTAATAGCGGTAAATTAGCTTGACTTTGTCAAGTTTCGAAAAAATACTAAAAAAGATATATGTCGCAGTGTAGCCATGGTATTGCTACGAGTTTAGGAATACTATGTAACGATCACGGTTGATATATATAATGTTAATTTCTATTAAATTCAAGTGCGATCAGGGAACTATCACGGATGATTAATCGCACCGCATATCGATATATATATATAGTTTATTTTTGTATCGCAAGCCAATTTCGGATCAATACAATTGCATTGTTATTACGAGAATTTTTAACTGTGTTCTCATGCTAATTAACTCGAAATTTCTTTGAAATGGCATTTATTATAAGTCGAACTTCATGAAATATCTAAATTGCGTAAGCGGTCTGTTGATATATTTGAAAGACCCGTAACGCTTATATATATTCGATTTTTTCCCACATATTTATTCTTTTCTCTTCTTCGCCTAAACTCCTATTACTGCTTACAAAATATCACGCTACGCACGGATCTTTCGTTAAAAAGGGATTGATCCGAAATATCAAAATGATTCGAACAAAATTGATTTATTCACTATAACGAGGTTTGAGTGTATAGATCAAAATACTAACACAATCTAATAGTCAAAACACAAATATTCATTACCTACCTTTAGATATTTTATAAATGCCTTTAATTTAATCTAAATACTGTTGGAAGTATATAAATCGTTAAACCGTTAAATATGTATCAAATCACTAACAAGTCTCTAATAGACCTGGTTACGTTATTATACTGGTTATAGTTCTGATTCAGATAAACGATTCTTTGAAACTGAAAGACTATATGATACTTTAAGCATTGTTCTGCCGAATGAAGCTCTTACTGCTTGGGCTATTCGTGTTCAAGAGTTGATCTCTAGGAGTAAATTTAGTGTCTATCATAAGCATTGTCTATATGCCTCTTTCCCTGGTGGAAAATTCGAGGATTATAATCACTATAGACCCAAACAATTTAAGAATGGAACTATGATCTGTCTGAATTGCGTAAAATTAGTCCGAGTTAATGTGAATGCTAAACCTAGAAAGTATCCCATCACGCTAAAATTCTTGAACCATGGGATTTGATCCAGAGTTACTGGGATTATGAGTGTAATAAACCTAAGGCTGTGCAAGAGTTATACAAAATGGATGCGATATAAGAAAAGGCCAGAGCTCAGCGACTCAAGTTTGGCATACAGTAAAAGATGATAATACTCCAAACGACGAGAAATATTTAGGTCTGATCCCCCAAAGAGAAAGAAACTTCCTATATTGTATATGGTGGCCAACAGATCCGAATTAAAGATCTGCATGATATTTCGTTACAGTGGTGGTCATAAGTATCCAGAATTTAGTTTTTTTAGGTACAACTTCACGAAAATTCATTCAAAACAAATGAAATTCCATATATATATAAAATATATGATATGGGAAACAAGTTTATCTAATATCACAAATACACTTAAATTAATAAAATTTTGCGTAAATTTATGCTAAAAATT